TTAGGCACAAAGGCTTCACACACACACACACACACACCAAACAAGCCTCAAGCTTCGTCTCAATGCGCCATATGTCCAAAGCTTTCCTTGGTTTGGGGTCGTGATGGCACAGTTTATGGGACGATTGGGGAACCTGGGACCCCAAACGAAATAGCCACCCAACAGTAGGCAGCTGCAAACACAGGTGAAGACAATTACTGCAAAACCGTCATTCCGTCTACTTCCCAGCGATTGTGGATTGCCGCCTGACTGCTGAATTCCGGAACCAACATGCCCAAGGGCAGCGCTTGTGGGCTGTGCATGCTGCACAGTGCTCTGACTGCATCCTTGAAACACATTTAGCCCTCCTTCAGGCTCTCGAATGCTGTAATTCTTGGCATCTGTCCTGCTTCGACCGAACACAGAAGAGCCGAAAGCCTCAAACCCTGCGTGTCACACCTGAAAGCCCTTGGCCTTTGGGCTTCTGTCAAAGCGGCGCGCCGCCTCGGAGCCGGCCAGCCCCATCAATGAACTCCAGCCTGAAAATCTTGGCATCCTCTAATGTTCTTGTTTTGATGCGGTTTAAGAGTCTCTGTCCCTGGCAAGCATCGCAGGAGGTGATTAACTGCAGACGATGCTAACATTTCTGGTAGCTGCTAGAAAGCTAAATGACCTCTTTGCAAGTAGTGTGACGCGACAGTGCCTACCTGGCACTTGACCGCCCCGGATGTGAAGCCCCTTCTTTTTACTACACAATGCCCAACTTCATGCCCCTGTCTCCATTCACGTTTGGCGTCTGGCAATGTGCCTCATAAAGATCACGAGCCAAGAGTCAATGTAATCTCGCCGTCACCGTTGTCTAAGAACTCGAAGAGGCTCATCAAGTCATGGTATTCCAACCTGGAAGGTAGCTTCAGCACCAATTGAATTACACAAGTGCTTGTCCTAGGGGCCAGCCAAGACGCTCAAGCTGCCCCATCCAGAACTTCAGCATGGGCGAGTTCACCAGCTTGGCGAATTCCTGCGTCATCAGGAAAAGTCATGACAGACTCAGCATCAAACAAGAAATCTACTTGCACAAATCCCAAATGAGAAGCTGGTGGATGGCACTTGCTGATCAAGTAACATTCAGAAACTCTGCCTGACAAAAGCTAAGAACCATTCAAAATCTTTGACAAACAGGTTGAAAGGTTGCCTGCCACAGTTTTAGCCCCGTCGTTGCGGTCTTGAATTAACAAAGAAGGAAGGAATGGACTGGAAAATGGAAGCACTGCTTTTTATTCTGGAAATGTCGCAAACTTCGAGTGCGTAAGCTGTGCGCACACTTGAACATCTGAAATTGAGCAGGCGGCTCCTCGAAGGAGCAAATAAAACAATGGCAGCCCCCAGACTCTGCACATTTACATTTGGGGTTATATTGGAATACTGGAAAAGAGAATGGAAAATACCATATGGTATATTGGGGTTAGATTGGGATATTATAGGTTTATATTGGGAAAATATAGGGTTATATTGAGATAATGGAAAAGAAAATGGAAACTACTATGTAGTATATTGGGGTTATATAGTTATATAACATCCTGTAGGTGGTCCCGTGATGCTACCACGGAGAGAATCCGACCAGCAAAGAGAGTGTTTGGTAGTACAGTGGATTTCCCGTTGCTGTACAGACAAGGGCTACAACCAAACAAAGCGCTCACTCAGGTCGTGAGTCTGGTTGCCAGGCATACTCAACAAGCTGGTAGCCAAACAAGAGGAACCAACAAACAAACTGTCGATTGGGCTACTTCACCAAACCAAGGCTGGCTCCCGGAGTCTCGCCTTGGGCCCCAACCCTCACTTCTAGCAATGGATGTCTCGGCATCGAGTTGTGACGAGATCTCCTTTGCTATTCGGACCTGGGACCAAACCGGCTCACTGCAACAAATGCTGCAGTGCATTTTCACCGCGTCATGGGCTCAACCCTGAAAGAAAATAGAGGACCGTGTAAGACAGCTCATGTTCGGAGGCCGAGAAATACAAGAACCACCGCCCAAAGCCGCCACAGCCACTCCAAGTAGGAGCCAACACGATGACTTACCATAGGCTCCGTAAAGGGCTGGTGCTACAAAGCATCGCCACATCGCGTGCGCACAGCTTTTCAACCTGACTGTCTGCAGGCCTACCTAGCCAATGACAGTTAGAGGCCCGAGCCTAAGCCCGTTGCCACACATGTCCACACACCGCAGTCCTAAAACTAGAGCCGAGAAGCTTAAATCACCATGACCATGTTATTAGGGATTAAAGGGCGACTACAGGGATCAACTCTTATCGCAAACAAGAAGGTTAGCCGTTTAGCCCCTTCCACCCAGCACCCCCACGAAAACTTCACAAAGAACGAACCATCCATTGGAGCTTCCGAAGTCTCTTAGAAACATGTATGCAAGCTTCCCACCTCCTTGTTGATGGTCCCATCCCCGGAAGAATCCATTGTCCTCAATACAGCAGTCATTTGGTGAGGTCTACTGATGTTGCTGACTGGTCCAGATAATGCTGCTCTGCACAGCTTGCTAGTCTATCCTTCAAGTTCTTGAAGATCATAAAGGTTCTAGCAGCCTCTTGGTGCTATGTCTTTGTCCATGACAGTTCGCGTCAACAATATACTGTAAGTACGCTCTTTGAGCATGAAGCCTCCTCACAGAAACCTTGGCAGCGGCTAGTTCGATGGAAGAGAGGTACGGTAAGCCCGTCACCATTTGCACAGCCCGATGCAAGCTACTATGGGAAGAGCAACACCTGCAGCAAAGTTGCTGAAACAGCTTCTTCACCTCCAGAATCAGCCGCAGGCTTTTGTTAGGTGAAGGCAGGCTTGCGCGCTTGCAGGTAATAATTGAGCACCCTCGTTCGTCAAGCTGAAGCACTGCTCCAGGCGAACTACTAATTACTGCCGAGGCGGAAGCAAGCACGAAGCTCAGATGCCAGCATTGAGTTAGCTTGGGGGAAGGCAACAAGCGAGGGTGTGCGTCCATTCACTCCTCCATTCCCCTCAATGACTCAATAGCATTGCGTGCAGATGTAAGGCAGGGCAGCACTCGAGAACCATGTCACACGTCTGCAACTACCATCAATGGACATGTGGAGGCCCTCACATCCACCCGCACCCATTCAGCCGCGTGGCTGAATTCCGCGGCTGAATGGGTGCGGCCGTCAGATTAGTGGCTAGCCAGCTTTTGGACTGGACTGGGACCCGAAACGCTACACCCTAAATCCTGAACCCTACACACAGAATCAACGCGCCACGTACAAGCTGCTTCGAGTTGGCCTTGCGGGTGTAGAGCGCCACATCCCGCTCCTTCTGCTTGAAAGCGAGCTCTTCGTCGGAGCTGGCTGTTTTCATTGTCTGCCTTGTCAGGCACTGCCCGCTACAAAAACACCAATGCTCCGCGCGTGGAGCGGTGGCATCTCACTGTGAAAGCAGTTTTCGTAGTCCTGGGGAAGACTTCTGACTCCGGAAAAATTCCAAGTTTGATCAGGAAATTCTCGGATAACATAGCGAGCCACACTGCCGTCAGCGCAAGGGGTCGTATGGATCTCAGCCTGATTTCCCGGAAGCCCATCCTTTGCCCTCGTATCCTATCCCATCCCCTCACCCAGCCCATGCTCTGGCCGACAAGTTGCTGGACAAAAACTGCATTGACAACCTCGGAAAGTCCAGCACCAGCCAGACACTACTGCATCCGAGTTGGTTGCCTATAGCTTGATTGCAAATGCCTAGCCGCCTAGCCATCCAGGACTCTGAACGACGGATGCGCGAAAAGAATGTCACTGCTCTCCAGCTTGAGATCTCTGAACAATGCGTTCATACAGCACAATCTCCGAGCTGAAAAGCATCTGAGGGAAAAGTAGTCTACAGCAATGCAAGCATGATTAAAGCCCTCAGCTCTCCGCAGCCCAAAAAGGACCGACACTCTGGAACACCTAGTTTGAGTCTGATGGGTTTTGTGGCCAGCTCGGTGGCCAGGCACATCCAGTTACGAGTACCGGTACCTAATCAACTTCGTGTAGCAGCCCTGAATGAACTCAGCATACCTGACCGCACCGATGATATGCAAGCAGCGTTCAGGACGGCAAATCCAAGGACCTCAGCATTTCATTGCCTGTTCCTGCGTTTGCCTTGTTTCTTGCGGACTTTCCCCGGGATCTGCTTTAGCTTGAGACCATGATTTTGGGATGAGCGTCAAGCTTCTGTTTGTACATGGTTCGAGGGGCCGCCTTCTTCACGGCATCAATGATTTGAGCCATGACATTTTAACGCTATTGAGCTTACGCAAGCTCCCCAAGGCTATAAACGAGAAAGTCCCCTGGTAACAAGCTGGCTTCCGCAAACAGTCTCAGACATGCTTCATGCCTCCAAAAGTGCGGCATGCCGCACAAAGCCACCCCTCGACAGGAACACGCTGGATAGTTACATCAAGGCCCCCGACTATGTCTTATCCACGGATGTGCGTCCCTATTTCTGACCTGAAAACTACCGGCCATGATATCTCCACACAAATCCAGAGATTCGGTGGCTCTGACTGCTGCAGACCCCTGGGTGCAAGACAGACATTGCGCTCAGAACCCGGCACATCGGTACAGAAGGAAGAAGATAGAGAACCATTCCTGAATGTACGCCAGGCGACGGGAAATCACTGTATCCAAACTAGGTACAATGGACACTAACTATGCAGCAATGCAAAGATCGTTGCCATACCTATTCAAGTGTTTGTATGGAAGCCGGATGCCCTGCGGCTTGGTTGCCCAAATCCTACTGTTATGACTAGTTGATACAGATCTGGAGCCACCTCCACTGCCGACTTCAGCTCTTGGTGGCGCGGATGGTGGACACTTTGAAGATCAGTGCTCTGCTGCATGGTGCTTGACACGTTGCATGGCAAAGGTCTCACAAGTACCCTGTCCCTCTTACATCGCGGTTCCCGATCTTGAAGCATAGACACCAGCTCATGATCATGATCATTCTGATTTTAATTGAAGCTCGCTGCACCCCCAAGCCCAATAATTTGCATCGAGCGGCGCTGATGTTTTCCACAAGCACTCTGCAGGCTGGAGACCAATTCGCGAATAAAATTTCAAACATGGTGAGAAACCTGAGCAAGCGTTCAACTTCAAACCTTTCAAAGGGGAAAAAATTGCAAGTCCGATCTCCATCAGAAGCTCATTTGGAATGTTTACATTCATGTAAACAGCAATCCTTTTTTGCTCTACAGCAGGCTCGTGAGAAAATGTCGTGAGTTGAAAAACGGAGGGCCCTGTACAAGCCCGTACATCGACCGACGCTTCCCGGGTGGGTGGGCGGGCCAAAATGCTTCCGGATTGTTAGTTGTACATGCTTCTCATGTAAAACAGCAATCCCACTTTTGCTCTACAGCAGGCTCGTGAGAAGGTGTCGTGAGTTGCAAGACGGAGGGCCCTGCACAGGCCCGTACATCGTCCGACGCTTCCATGACACTCCCCCTGCTGCACCAGAAAGGCAGCCGCTAGGCTTGAAGGTGCGCCCCGGGCCGTAGAGCAGCGGCTAAGACTTCGAAGCTGCCTGCACGTTCTCCCTGGCTTCCTGACTCAGCGAAGGCAGCACTCAAGCGCCGTCACCTCCTGCAAGTAGTAGCCCAACGTGATTTGGTGCTGCAGCCTCATAGCCCATTGGAGGTCCGCTATCGGAAGACCCTTTTGATGAGCAGTGACGGCGTCCCCTCCACGAAGGGACCCAGGTGTCAGCTTTGTCGCCCGATCAATACCCAGGTCTTTCAGCAGAGCATCCCAACGTCTACTGTAAGCTGCTGGGGAGCCAGAGTACAGTGCTGCTTATTTAGGAAGAGGCTCAAAAACTGCAGTAACGAGCTCAATGACGAAAGGCTCATGCAAGGATATATGTTGTACTTTGGCGCCGCGCCCACATGTCTTAGGGCGGCGGACGACCAAATACACAATTTCGTTCCGAAAGCAAGTCGCCTGGGGTCAGAAGGTCAGCTCGCTTAGCCTGCAGAGGCCCCCCAATCCGCGCAATGCCATAAAAGCAGAGAGCAGTTAACGCTGCCCATCGATGCCAACTTCGAGCCAAAGCCAAACCGACCATGGCCAGCAAAACAGGTTCTGGGAGAGGAGGCCTGTGAGTCAAAGGTTCTCGAGGTGCTCCCGACGAGTAACAGCATCATTCCACGCGGCCCCCAGGAAAGGCTTCACACTCAGAAACTCTTTGGAAACGAAGGCCAGCAGTTGACGGTAGCAATGCAGCGGTGAGCCAGAACTGAATAGCTCTTGCCCATACAGTCGTAGCGCTTCCACAAAAGGGGGCGGACAAACCAGGAGCTCGGCGACGTCCTCAACACCGATTGCAGATAGCAGCCACGCGCAAAATGACAACCAGAAGCGTTGCTGTAAAGCGGCTGTAGCCGGAGTCACCAGTTGCACGTCGTCAAGCCGTCCAGAACGGCGCTTCCGAGCATGCCGAGGGCCTGGTTGAGTAGCCTCGGGCGCAAGAAGACACATCTAGTCTGGCCCGTTCAGGATGCAAGCCGCAGTCTGACGCAAAGGCGGCGCTGAGGAGGTTGCACAAGCCACAAGGATACGGCTGAGCACACAGCCTCCATGACATGCGCTCGGCCTTGTTGTACCCCCGAAGCTGCGCGTGAGCCCGTCCACACTTACAATTAAATCGCCAGCCACCTAGACAGCAAGAAGTCCTGAAGCGAGTCCGCTTACGCCACGGCGTCTTAAAGACGCAGTAGTCGACGACGAAGGCGTTCCAGTGGCCACTTCGCCGGCGCCAGCAGCGTTGCTTCTAGAGCCAAGAGGTAGCAGGGTTCTCGATGGCATACAGGACGTTGTACTGTTCACAAAGCCGTGCCAAGCGGGCACACCCCCAAGCAAAACTGTTTCCTTGACTGCACTTGGCTCGTTGCAGCTCGCTGCACCAGGGTACCCCCAAAGGGTATTCGTTTGTCCTGCAAGGGGGTGTCACGGCGCGGCTGAAGGAGGCACAAACAGGGCCTGCAGTAAGCACGCGGGCAAATCCATGGCGGATCAAACCCTCTACACGACCACAAACGGCACGAGACAAGAGGTCTTCGTCAGGGGAGCGGGCAACATCAAAGCACAGAACCCACACGGGAAGCCGGCTCGAATGAGCGAGCGAGGGAGGTTACGCGAACCTGAGAGCAAGTCAATGCAGCCTGGGCCTGAGGCGATGGCGGCTCCCAGAGAAGCGAACCTCCTGCGGAAGTCCAGGCTTGGGCAAGGCATTGAAGGACCGCGGGAGCAAGCCAGAATTTCGGGCACAGCAAGTCAGCTGCGGCAGAGCGCGGGCGATCAGCAACGGCACTGCGATGGCCCCGTCGGCCTCACTGGGCAGAGATGCTACGGCGGAAGGCAAGCAATCCGGAACGATGTCCTCACCCCCGACGCTTGCATCAGCGGAGAGCGGCACAGGACGGCCAGAAGTGGGAGGCAGAGGGCTCTCCTTGGAAGCGGAGCAACGTGCTTTGTAAGTGCGGCCGCGCGCGGCTCAGCTTGGTCCGAAGGTCAGCGGAGATCAAGCCCATCAGTTCACAAGCAGGCGGGAGCTCGGAAAGAGAAGAGCGGTCAAGCCCAAACGACCGAAGAAAGGCATCGAGCCCAGAGAACTCGCCCTGCAAGAAGTTGGCAAACCAAGGAGGAGACGGCCCCTGCGGCCGCCTGAGCGGGACGAACCTGGTGGGATCGTTCTTGAAGCAATGTAGCCGAAGCCGGGGTTGACCCCGCTAGTCAAATGCACAACAAGGCTGCCCTTCAACAGCTTGTTGATGCCAATGGACGATGATCTAAGTAAGCGGCAGCCACCTGCGAATCGACGAGGTGAACCTACCGCGTTCCAGGGTGCAATTTGCCAACCTGGGCTTCAGCCTCCAAGGCGGCTTTGAGTTCCAGGATATTGATGGGGACCCCCTAACTATTACCCTTAGCCCTTACAAGGTGCTTAAACTTAAACCTGAGGCTCTTGCAGATGGTACGCCAAAGAGGATGCGACTTGTAATGCTCGGCAGGAAGCTCCTGATCGGCAGGCAGTTGACCCTTGGCTCGCAGGTAAGCCGGTAAAGGGCGAAGGAGGCGAGACCAGAGCCCACGCTGCAAGGTGCGCCGATAACACTCCTCGGAGGCAGCGGCAGGCAAAGAGCAACAAACTGAAGCCCGGGCAGCAGAGGACGCGTCAGAGGCGACCAGCACAGGGGCAGCAGGAGCCCGGACGTCAAGAAAGGCCAAAGGAACCAGGGCGCAGGCAATCACCAATTCCTGGCGAAGCTCGGCGGAAATAGAAATGATATCAGTGGGCCGTCAGCCGGCTTGCGTACTGCACACTTCAGAAAGAAGGCTCATCAGCCGGCGCCGAAACTAGAAGACCGACACAAAGGAGCCTGCAAGTACCTCCAAAAGCTTGACGGAGGCCCGCTGCAAAGACAGCATCTCGGCAACGCACCAGATCAAAGGAATGGACCAAGTTAGGGCGCACGACCCCTTGCCTGCCTGGAATTTCGGATCCCCACACTTCGGCTTCGGAAAGTCCCCAGACGGCCTTGTCCGGGCGACGCGGCAAGCCGGCCGCAAGGCAAGCGTGGCGCAGCGCCCACATCTTACGTTCGGCCTCTTCTCGCTGCAAGCTAGGGGCTCCTGACTCCTGACCCGTCGTCGGACAAAGGGACCTGAGCACAATGAATGAAATCATCAATCATGAGCCCACAGAAGTTGCCCGACCTGGGCACACCTGCCTTTAAAGAGATGAACTCAGAGAGCGCAGGCTCGGCCGCGAAGGGCCACACTGAGGTGAGAGGCTTGGCCATAAGCTACAGCGCGCTTGTCACCCATGGCGAGCGTAGACAAGCAAGGGCAAACGGCGATGCCTTCCAGCTCGGGCCTGTAGCATTTAAACCCGTTAGATTGAGAACCGGAAAACCTGCCTGCAAAGAAGTTACGGAGTTCGCGACCCTCAGGCACCTTAAAGCTATAGTAGAAGTGGCGATCTCGGGCGACGCTTGGGGATTTCAAAAGCCCCAGCGCCGTAACCCTCGCGGCAGGGTGCAGAGCAAGCCTCCCGCCCTCGTCCAGCATCCGATCCTCCAACGCGCACCTGACCTGGCTGAAAGCCCTGTAGGATCTGCACATCAGGGTCCAGGAACTGAAGGGGATCAAAGCAAGGAGTGCCATGAAAGGAAAGGCGCGAGGGTTTGATATTCTTAGCTAAAGGCAGCATGTCAGCAGGGCATGGACCCAACCACGGTCCCAGGATGACCGAGATCCCCTTTGCAAGGAGGCCGCTTCGGCAGGTCCCGCGGTAGGACCGAAGAGCAACTGCAACTGGGCTAACACCTTGGCAATGCCCTCCACCTTGACGGTGCCGCGACCCATGTCGGCCGCTTCCACCTCTGGGTAGGAGTTCCAAGCCTGCATGCACTGCGGCATGGAAGGAGTCTAGCGCAGAGAAAGGCGGCTGCGGGTTCAACTTGGCTCCGGAGCAGATATTCAAAGGGGGACGGCAGGGCCATTGCAATGAAGAAAAATGAAGAAATGAAAGAATCAAGGCCAGTCGGTCCGAACTGCACTGGTCGGACCCATCCTTTGAGGCCAGTACGGCAGGAAATGGCAAAAGCGTGGGCCAAACACTGGAAGAATTATCGGCGGCCTGCACGGGCGCCACACGAGAGCTGCGCGGAAGCAGTTGCTTGAAGTCCAGAGGCAGCCGCCCACAAAAGATGGAGCCCGAGCCCCCTACCTAAACCTGCCTTGAGGGAGCTAGGGCGCCCAGAGCCGCGAGGGGCCCCAAGGCAAACGGGTGAATGGGGATTAGGGTCGCCTGTGGAGCGCTGCTTCTCGGCCCTTGGCGCCGCCCCTCGCCTCGGATTGCCTTTGGGAGCTTCGCTGGGTCCTGGAGGGTCTTCGGAGCTGGGCGCCTGCTGCCGCCTCTTGGACGTTGCTTCGCCTCTTGGTCCCGCAGTCGCGCCATAAGGATTTCGATCCATCTTGGGTCTGCAAGCCGCGTATGCAAAACATCGCCGGCGTCGTTGCCGCTGCCGACGCGATTGTGAAAGAGGCACACGGAGGAGCTTGTTCTAGAAGAAGTCTTGTGAAAGGAGCCAATTGCCGTTGTCGGCAGCGCTTTGGTCGTATAAGCGCACAGCGCAAGAGCGACCCTCGCTCGAGCCTCCTCGACTCTGTTCTCCTTGAGGCAGTCGTGCACTGCGCCCAGAATCCACATGGCGCGGCGAATAGAGGCCGGCTGGAGGCAGTCGTGCACTGCGCCCAGAATCCACATGGCGCGAATAGAGGCCGGATAGGGCCCTAAACGACTCCGGTGTTCGACCCAGCCTCGAGTCGAGACTGGGAAATCCTCTGCCATGAACTCTTCCACAGCTTCGTAGAGAAGAGCAGGAGCATCGCGAAGGCACGTGCGGAGCTTGCGGTAGGCTGCGGCTTTTGAGCGCCTGCCGCTGCTGGAGCTGTTTTCGGCTCCACCCGTCAAGTGAATTCGAGGGCGGCCCTTGTCGCCAGCTGGGCTCTTTACAACACGCGTGAGCTGAACGACCGCCCTCTCCACTGCAGGGGTATATAGAGGGATCGAAGCCTTCGTCCTCCGCCTCCTCCTCGGACTTGGACAGAGGATTCCTGGTCTTGCTTCGGGGACCTGCCGAGCAGAGACGGCGGGTGCATCGCCCATTCGAGAGGACGTCGCGAGAGCGCCCATCCTGGCTATAGTAGCTTCTGCTTGGGAGGGCCGGAGCCGATGCTAAACCTGGAGGCGGAGCAGAGGGGTAGATGGCTGTTGCGGCCCAGTGGGCCCAGGAGCTCACAAGCTGGGCCAAAGAGGCCTGGATAGATGCAAGAGAAGACTCTAAGCTGCTGACGTGCTGCTCCCATGGCTGTGCGGGAGGCGGGGCTTCAAATCCAGGAGGGCCCTCGGCAGCAGAAACAAATTGAAAAAGGTTGTCGGCGGCAGCAATAAGGCCGTCCACGTCCGGCCGGACAGGAACACTAGAGGAAGCGGCCACAAAGTCATGCACAGGGGCGTCGGGCCCCACACACTCTTCAAATATGCTTTCAAGCTGAGAATCGAGAACCGCGAGCCAAAGCTTAACGGTCAACACTGAGTGCGGAGAAGCACCCTCCTCAAGAACGGCTGCCACTTCAACTTGATGAGGCCGGAGGAGGGACCCCTTTGCGAGCAAGCGGCCGGCGGCCCTGCGATGCCACACGCTTTGAGGGACGGCAACGACAAGAGCACCTCCGTGCTCGCAAACAGGAACTATAGCGATAGTGGTTTCACCTTCAAATCCCACACACCGAAGCTGGAGGCGGGGGCAAAAGGAGGCTACACGGCCCTCACCGTCAGCCCAAATGCAACAGTCCCGAAGAGAATCGAGAGGGACGCCGTCGTGGGACCCCTCACGACTCATACTCGCTCAACCAGGCAAACCCAGCACTAATGAGAACTTCCTTAACTTCCCACACGCTAGAAGAACGGAGCCGCCCAACGAAGAGCCCCTTTTGCACAAGGCTGCTGCCTCGGAGTAAGTGCGAAACACGCGGGGCGGCTGCAAGGGGCGGCCCTCGAAATCGGCAAAGACCAGGTAGAGGCGGCTGCGCAGATTGAGGCGGGCACGCCCGGATGCTTGCAGGTGCTCCCCGGAGAGAGCTCGGCGAACAAATGCACCTAGCTCCTGAGCTAGCACTCGGCGGCCCACAGTGTCCGCAGGATCGACCTGGGCAGAAGGAAAGGGCTGACTGGCGCGCGCGCTGTGCACAGGCTGGGACCTAGGCGGGGGCCCAACAGAAAAGGAGCTGCAGCAGGCGCAGAAGGCGGTGCTGAGGAAGAAGGATGGGTGGTGTCCACGGGAAAAGGCGCAGAGCTAGGCGGCGCCTCTGAGACGGCGTCCCAAGAAGATTCCGCCCTCTCACGCTCGAGAGCAGCCACTCGCCCTTCAAGGAAGGAGATGCGCTCGGTGAGCTGAGCGACCAACGCTTGCAAGGCGTCCACAGACCTGGCCAGCGAGGCACCACTACTCATCTAAAGCCTTAAACCAACCTAAGGGCCTACAGGTCCTAACCCCCCTCTCCCTCAAGAACACAGTTAGGCTGAGGCGTGCAAGGAAGACCAAGTCCAGCACGGTGAGAAGCAAAAGGCCCGACAGAAGTCCAAGGCAAAAGGAGGGCCAATCGAGCTTGAACGAAGGAGGCTCAAAGTCCAAAGGCCCAACGGGGACCACAGGCGAAGACTGTGACACCTGACGTAGAACCTCAAAAGACCAACGCCCCTACACCCCCCAACGCGACGGAGACTCCTGCGGGCTGCAAGCTCATAGGCCAAAAATGCTTCCGGATTTTTGGTTGTACCTGCTTCTCATGGCCAAATTCATGAAGTACAAGTACCGAAAAACGTTTGTAGGAAGTTCAGGCAAAGAAGATTTCTTTTGGGTTAAGAGCTTCATGAGCAATCTCTCCATGTGGTTGCCCCGGAATCAAGCCTAAGAAGTTGGCACTGGGTTTCAAATTTGAATCTATGGCCGCAAGCAACTTAGAGGCCGCAAACTTATCAAACAGAAAATATATCTACCGCAGAAACACTTTGCAAAATGCTCAAACAACCTGGCTGCGAATCTCTTAGTATGAGCCAAGCCCCAACCATTGGAATAAGTGCCTCTCCGCCCAAATCATGCTTCAGGTCCGTTACTCGTCCGTAGCGGGACATGCAAACCGTGAGCCTGCAGTCAGGACATCCCAGAAGCCTCTGAGCGGCCCAAAACCCTTCCGTGCCGCCCTGTGCACACGGAATCTAGGCGGAAGAAAGTTTGATTGGCTGAGAACCCTCCGAGAAACGTTCGAGTGAACGTGCCATAGAAGCGGAACACCTCTTCCTGCAGCGTGCAGCTAGGGCTATGGAGCGACGAATGTATTCATTCCCGTCCTGGTTTCGCAGCACAAGAAGAGCGAGGTTCTATCCAGTGACTGCGAAAACTATCTGGAATGGGAGCCTTCTTGCCACGTGTGTGCAGGGCAGCCTCCTCCCTAGCATTGCGCACATCCCAGCACACTGCTCCAATACACACCATGAAAATCTATCACAATTCCTAAGAGTTGCAGCAAGCGAGCCATCCTCTGGGGGCCCGAGGGCACACTCTTCAATGCCCTCTGCTTGGGCACCCAAAAGACCACGAACCAGACCGGCGGCCAGGCAGTCTGAAAGCTGATCACTCAAAGCACTTGTAGAGCAGCGCAAGAAACCAATCGATGTCTCTTAGATCCGGAGGGCACGAACAAAATGGGAATCCCACATGCAAACCATCCGAACCCTTTCCCTACCATAGCAGCAAGAGGTCCCTGAGATCTGGGTTCTGCGATTCGTCGCTGATAAACTCTCTGCAGAGGGTGCTGGCCACCATTCCTGCACAAACTCGGAGCACGCTTCAAATTGCGCCCTCACACAAATGTAAATAGGCTTCATGTTGGTTCCATCTGTGTAGCTGCTCAGTTGCCAACGTTAGCCAAAGCAACAAGAATCTGAAAATGCAACCCAAAGCTCCAGCGACGCATTGGACGAACGTCAGGAGGCAAAAGCTCCAAAAGAGCCTCGGATGTAAATCATTTTGTCAAGGGATGAGGACCACTCTCATTTTCGTGGAGATTGAAAGCCTCGACCTAGCGCTTGACATGGTAGCGGGAGGCTCTGCGCTAGTTTCGAAGAAAGCCGGCTAAGAGCCGAGCACAGCCCCCTATCAGATAGACCAGACAGATCCCCAGAATGACCTAGACCTATACCAACAGCTGTCGCTGGCATCCGCAGAAGAAGAAAGATCATCACAGAACCCAAACCTGGAGGAGCTGCCAGAAGCCATGAGGCCATCGACCCATTACAAGTACTTTTCAGCAAAAGGTATCTGGCTTACTTTCCATCATGATCTAAGGCAGGGGCATGTTGGCGCTGGCAGCGATGCACTTGATGAGCAACCTTCACATTTATGGACTCAGAGTTTTAGAGGTTGTGAAAGTTTTGCTGAGATCCAAATCCATTTCATGCAGCCCAACACTACACTCCGCATCCTAAAAAAAGAGCACTATCTTCTAGCCTTGGATGGTTGTTTGGCCGGTTGGCGTCTTGGAAACATGCCATTCTGCAGGTCTGTCTCTACGGTCTGTACGTGACGACTTCTGGGCCTCAGCGACATGACATGGCTACCTATGGATTCCTGGCGCCGGGAAACTGCAGCGATGCCAGCACGCTGTTCATGGTCACCATGCCTGAGTCAACGCTCGCGAGGGAAAGCAAGCAGCAGCATTGCTGTCCAACAACCTGCCGCAAAATTGTGCTTCTAGCTTTGGATGAATATATTTTGGGGGAAGAGAAATAGCGCGACTATAGCAGCTAAAATCCAACATGGAGAGCCGGACGCCACCCAAGTGGATCTCTCACTCTGTCTCTCTCTTCTTCTTCTTCTTCTTCTCACTGCTCTACCCCTCTCGAAAGAGGGGCTGGGGCATTGCCCCAAGCAGGATGACGGTCCAGGCTCGAAGCCGTGGCAGGTCCCAATTACCGCCAGAACAATGGCACTCGAAGACAAACACAGCAATCAGATGATGGCCCACATTCCACTACACTCTACAAAGCGTACTCCCCTGAGCGCCAACGTACTTGCCTCATCGCTTCTGGCATCGGCTGTGATACCTCCCCTCGCCCCCTTGATCAAGGTGGCCTATACAACGAGAGGGTTGTTTCTTACTCCCGCAGGTCATCTCCCTTGTCTTTTGCAGCTACAATAAGTACAAGCGAACCCACAACCATCCGACAACAAACTCATATCCCTGGGGCATGCTTGACCTGATCGACCACTCAATCCGTAGCCTCTGCGCTACTGGCAGTTGCTTCAGACATGGGTGGGCCTCAACGGTGGTGGTGTCTGCTACATTGGGCCGTGGAATTCAGCCACGGCTTGAACAGTACTCTCTCTCTCTCTAAGCCATTCAGAGGGTCCAGCAACCTGGGGCACACGGATGTGAAACCACGGCGCATGCCATCAGCAACTCGCCATCAGGCATCAATCAGCACTCATGAGCTGCGTCACTTGCACGCGCCACAAATCTGGACAATCTGAAACTTCTCCAACTACCCCTGCATGCCTCCACCCAATATGCCAACGTGGGAACTGCTCTAAAAGGATTAAAAGTTCTATTGCCGAGGAGTGAGACAAGCAAAAAACTAAAACAGAAATGTTTCGACCCGAAGCTAATCACTGACTCAGTCCAGAACACGTGCCTTGCTCGATTGCAGCTGAGCTTCGTATGGCACGCGCAAGCTTTCCTATGCGGAGCAGCCTGAACAGGATCGGATTGACCTGAGATGTAGCGAAGTCAAGCGCAACTTGTCGCTATTAACGTCCCAGTAATTCGGCAGCATGCATTTTCGCCATTACCAGCCAGCTTCTACACGTTGCAACTTCCCCTCACAAAATGGGTTGAAGAAGCATGGGTTAGGCAAAATTAAAACCTCACCACACAAATGACAAACACACCTGCATGAGCATGTTTTTGTTGCAGAGTCTGACAGCGGCAGGTTGCCGGAAGTGCGTTCCCGTAGTAAACGGCCACCTCGAAGACCGAAGTCGCGCTAACCTGACACATCAAATGCAACTCGCTCAGTGCTCTGAGCCTCTTCAAGTCTTCAAATCTGAAGCCCAGCAGCTGCAACGTCGATGTAGTTCAAAGGGACCTGCCAAGACGAAGATTGCCCACTCGTGTCCAGCTCATGCATGCCACGCAGAGCTACGGACTGTATATCAAAGCATTCAACAGCCGCGTGCCACTGGTTCTGCACACAAGGGCTGAGAGCACGGCAACACGGCTCTGCTTGTTGAAAGGCATTTTATTACCATGTCTTTCGGGGAGAATGGTTGCAAAGGGGCAGGATTAGGGATTATTGCCGTTGCCCCCCTTGATTCCCGCACCTTTTTGGATCTAGCCCTGGCTGGGAATTGCAAAGCCGGCCTTCCAGAACCGGCACTGAAGCACCGATGCGCGCACAAAAACGTCTAAGGTGAAGAGGATCGTGAAGGCAAGGTCCCCCACCCTTCAGAAGTCAGAAGGTGGACTTTAAAGTTTTAAACCATGTCTTGGATGCATCACGTGTCAGACGCAGTACCTCGCAGCTGTTAGATCTTCAGGGGGGCAGTTTAACGGCAGTTTCAGCATGCACCACTGCACACGGGTATACGAGCAGCATGCTCGTTGCAAATGCAAAAAAAAACTATTCCGTTGCCAAGAGCTAGGCAGCTACATCGCACAGCTACATGCGACCCGGGAAGCGTAAAGAAGAGCTCCCAGGAAGGCCAGCTCTCGGCGTCCACATCTGCTGTGGCATAGACCTTCAGGTTGACGCCGACCAGGCCCCTTGGCAAAAGCAAAATCCGTGGTGTCTTCAGATATTTTATTTGAGGTTACGAATGGCCAAAAACTTGCTCTACTTGCGAAGGAGGGAGTGCCGGCTTCTTCCCTATTCTGGACTCAAGCGGTGCTGAATTCACGAGTCTGCAATGCAGATTTGTGATCCTTCATCCACCCTTCCACTCTGCCAGAATATCTCCAATCAGATGGCATTCCACTGTGGCACGCAAGCAGTTCAAACAAGGTCAAACGTCTGCGGGCTGCTTGGGTCATGCTTGAGTATGACCAGACGCCACACTTTTTCACAACTACATGCTGAAAACTACATGCTAAAGAGTTGATTGACATTATTCTTGGCCCTCGTGGCAAGGGTCTCGCCGGAATCAGCGTCAACTGCAACTGCGCGCGGCTAACGGGAACCCTTCGCACCGGGATTCCGGGATCTTCCACGCATTTTTGCACAAGCCCCAGGCTTGAAAACCTCTACGGTACGGCCGATTTAGGCTCAGGATCCATTGGGGTTATATTAGGGTTATATTGGGGCTATATTGGGATAATGGAAAATAGAATGGAAACTATTACTTGCCAGAGGCAGGTCCATTGAAGACGGATCTTTGCCATTGCATGTATTTTGGC